AGCTGGCTGAGGAATTCTGGGAGTTGAAGTCCACAAGTCTTAAAGTTGCCAAGGTTGGACACCCCTGGTGTAGAGGGAAGAAGGGGAAGACTGGGGATGCCAACCGCTCCTCCGTCCGCCTAGATTTTGTTTACAGGCCTGGAACAATGAAGAAGCTTGGCATTTTGGCAAGCAAGTGAAAGGAGCAGCAGAGAAGCTGAGCTCTGACCAGCCGGGCCATTACACTGGACCACGCAGGGACCTGCACATATCTTGGCATCAGGGGAGGGTGTGGGAGGCTCAGTCTGGAGAAAAGAAAGGAGGGAAGATGCGGCATTGGGTGCATAAGGGAAGGTGGTTTGGAGTCAGCTGCCCCACACTCCAGGATCATGTTCCACATGTGACCTCCTAGAACAAGGGTCGCCAACCTTTTGGACCTCAGGGACCACCAAAGGCATAATTTTAAATCCCGTGGACCACTAATATGAATTTTGACATCGTTGGGAAAGTCAGCCCGCTATTCCAGAGCTGCAGGAGTCACTGGCCCTTTGGTCATCCCGGAGCAGCTGCTCCTCCACCCGGATGCACCGGCCTGCCATGGACTGGAGGAGCGGCTCTGGGATGACCAAAAGGCCAGTCCTGTGACTCCGGCAGCTCTGGAATAGGGGACCGACTTTCCCACCAACGTCAGGAAGCCACCCCGGGGCGGATTTCCCTCCCCCGCTGTTGGTTTTACCGTCTAGTTCCAGCTCATGTGGCTCTACTCAAGGATTGCGCTTGGCCGAAGGGTGAGGGCCGGTGGGTGGCGCAGCCTTGTGTTCCCACACAGCCTGGATTAATTGCTTTGGGGGGAGAGTGCTTGGGGGGACGACGACATTTCTCTGTGGACCACCACAATTTTCTAACGGCCCACCAGCGGTCCCTGGCCCACCAGCCGACCCCTGTCCTGGACCACCTGGAGCTTCCGCATCGCTCCCCCCTGATCTTCTTATGCCTCCCATTTCCCACACAGGCCCAAACCTCCCATTTCTCCCTGAAAGACACCCTCCTCCGCCTCATTTCAGCCCAGGATGCAGGAAGGTGGGTCCCTCCGAGTATCCCCTCAAGGAGGTGCCACCTTTAGGTCCTCTCCCGTCTCCCTTCTTTCCCCGAAGAGCCCGCTCCCCGCAGCTCTTCCCCCCACACTGGAGCTGGGAGCCCTGAACCCCCTTTGGCTCCTTCAGCCCCCGCTGGGCCTCCCCCGGGGCCCCCCAAGAGATGCCTCATCAGCCCCCCGGCTGTTCTGAGGGCTCCCCAGAAGGACGGAATTGCCTTGGCACAGGGTTGGTGGCCCCTCCACTCTTCTCGGGCCCCGCCCTGGCCGTGGCCAGACACACCCAGGGCGAAGGGTGAGCAGTGGCAGGGCCTGAGAAGAAAGGAGGCCACTCGGAAAGCCCCAGGCCCGGCTTTCCCCTCCGGGGGCTGCCGTCGGGTTGCTCCTCAGCCGGGAAGGGGGGCGCTTTGGTCGAGCGGGGCCCGCCTCGTTCTCCCCGCCCCGTTTCCAGGGGCCTTTTCTAACCTGGTTCAGGTTTCCTTCGCCCCCCCCCCGGGCGGGGGTCCCCCCCCCCCCCCCCCCGCCAGCCGGACCGGGCCGCCCCGCCACTCCCCGCGCCCGCCCGCCGGCCTCCTCCTCCTCCTCCTCCCGGGAGCGCCCGAGGGCTCCTGAGGCCTTTCCACAGGGAGCCGGCGGGGCGGCTAACGCGATCAGCGGCGCTGTCTCTCCGAGGCAGCCACTCGGCTAATCCTGCCAGACAGGCGGAAAAGCCCCGGAGCGGCTCGGCCGTCGCCCCGCCCGGCCTTTGTTCGGGCCCTCCGGGCAGGCCCCGCGCCCCCCGCTCGCCCGGCCGCCGGAGCCTCGGTCGCCTCGGGGCGGGGCGCGCACGAAGAGGGGGGACCCGGCCTTTCGAGCCCCTCCGCCCGCCGGCTCCCCCCCCTGTGCGCCGGGGCTTACGGATCGGCCCTTGGGCTCGGCTCAGGGCGCCGCCTCTTCTGACCGGTGCAGCTCGGCGGCTCCGGGTCCAAGGCAACGCAAGCCGACGAGAGACGTTGCCCTGGGTCTCTACTGCAGATCCCCCACAATCTAAAGCCAAAGTATGCAGGAAGCAGACCACAATGGCCACGGGGACTTTGAACCCCCGGACATCAACTGGGAGACCCGTGTTACACGCCTCGTGGCCGCTTCCTGATGGCCCTGGCAGACCCCAGGTTTTCTCCCAAAAGGAACTAGCGGGTCACCCGTACTGGACTTGATTCTCACGAACAAGATTAAAGTTCCAGGAATCTTCGGAGATTCAATATTGGAATTCAACATTATGCAAACTCAAGCAATAGAAAAAAAAGTCAAAGGAGACTTTTAAGAGGCCTGATTTGAACAAATTCAGAGTACGGGGAGAATTCCCTGGATGGAAAGGCTCCAGGGGAAAACAACCCGAGAAGCTTGGGAAACTTGGAAAAGCGACATTATAAAAGTCTAGTCTAGTAGAATACTGCTGGAGAAATGAAAATAAATCCCAGAAGAAACCAATAGGGCTGCACGGAGAACTCATCAACTGAGAGACAAAACAGGACAAGTATAAAAAACAGAAAGAGGGACACGTAACTAAGGCAGAATACTGGCAGGTGGACCAAACCTGCAATGTGAAGTCAGGAAATCTAAGGTTTAGAACAAACTAAGACTTGCAACAAATGTGAAAAATAATGAAAATTATTTAATTCTTTCGACATGTAAAAACCAAGGGAAAAGTCAAGGAAATGATTGGGCCACTAATAGAAGAAGTTGAGGTAAAGGGCAGGAGGAAGAAAGTGGAACTGTTTAATTCATTCTTTGCACCTGTCTTTACACAAAAGGAAAAAACAGACCAACCTATCAAAAGCAGACCTATAGAACAGGGGTCTCCATCCGTGCCAGCTTTAAGACTTGTGGACTTCAACTCCCAGAATTCCTCAGCAAGCTGGCTGAGGAATTCTGGGAGTTGAAGTCCACAAGTCTTAAAGTTGCCAAGGTTGGAGACCCCTGTTCTATAGAAGACAGTTCAGGAATACAAATCAAAATAGGCAAGAAAATGGTAAGAGAACATCTACTTGTAAACGAGTTCAGATTCCCAGGTCCAGATGAATTGCACCCCAGAGTTCTAAAGGCAGATGTGATCTCAGAACCACTGAATCATATCCTTCAAAGATTCTGGACCACTAAGGAACTACCAGAGGATTGGAAAAGAGCTGATGTGGTTTCCTCCTTCAAGAAACGGTGGGAAATGGATCCAGGAAACTACAGACCAATCAGGCTGGCATCAATACCTGGGAAATCCTTGAAAACACAATGAATCTGTAAACTCCTAAAAGCAAGGAAAGTATTACTAGGAGCCAATATGGCTTTATCAAAAACAGATCATGCCAGACAAAGCTTATTTCAATCTTTGACAAAGTGATTAAAGTTGTGGAGCTGGGAAATGCTTTCAAAGCTTAGTATACCTGGAATTCAGTAAGGCATTTGACAAAGTAGACCACAGCCTTTCTCTCGGTAAGGTAGAAAATATAGAATAGACAGCACCGCTATCGGATGGATTAGGAACAGGCTGACCAACTGGACTCAGTGTGTAGTCCTTAATGGAACTACATCTCTCTGGAAGGAAGTATGCACTGGAGTACCCCAGGGTTCTGTTTGGGTCCTGTTCTTTTCACTGTCTTTATCAGTCATTTAGATGAGGGGATAAAAGGGGAACTCCTCACATTTGCAGACAACACTCCCCAAAATGGGCTCGGGATCCAGGAGGATCTTAACAGACGTGGGCGCTGTCTAACAAAACTAAGTTCAGTGGCGGGAAAAGTCAGGGAAGAAAAAGCAAATGGGCAGGTACAGAAAAGATGCACCTGCCTGAACAGTGGCCTGGGGAGAGGGGTCTAGGAGCCCTATTGGACCATTGCTCAAATATGAGCCCGCAGTTTGCTGCCCCTGCCAAAGAAGCCAGTGCAGCCCTAGGCAACGGAGGGATAGGATCCAGATCCCGTAATGCTGATGGGGAGCGCAGAGCTCAGGGCTCTCTCTGTGGCGCTTCCTCCAGGTCTGATGAGGAGCCGCTGGTGGGCTCTCTCCAAGGATGCTTCCCAAGTCCTCTGGGCCTCCCCCCCCCTCAACAGGCAACCAAGTCAGCCCACAGGTGACCAGCCTGATCCTCCCAAGGTCACAGGGCGTATTGGCTCCCCCTTGGCCTCTGCCGTCCTGTTCTTGCTTCCAGGTACTGCTCTCTCCCTGGATTTGAGGCAGACTTGAGGCAGTCGTCCCTGGATCAGGGCTTCAGGTGGGAGAGCCTCAGCAGGGCTTTCCCAGCCTGGCCAGAAGGAAGGGATCTGCTTGGTTTGAGGCTGCCACCTGGCGGCAGAAGGAAGGAAGACGTTCTCCTGGAGCGGGAACTGTGCTGGCAGGAGTGAGTGGTGCTCTCTGAGGCTGCGTGACCTTCCGTCCGAGCACAACGTTGGGAGGGATCTTAGAAGTCATCTACTCCAGTGGTTGCCAACCAGTGGGCTAGGGTGGTCCGCAGAGAAATGTCACCCCCCCCCAAAGCCATTAATCCAGGCTGCGCAGGAACACAAGGCTTTGCGTCGCTTGCATTGCAAACAGCACATGGTAATGAGGGGAGGGAGGGGAGGGTGGAGGGGGGGGACTTGCCCCACACACCTCACCTGGCCACCGGGCTGCTTCTTTCTGCTTCTGCTTTTGGCTGCATGCAAGGAAAGCAGAAAAAGCCTTTCTTTGTCTCCCCCAAACTCTGCCAGAAATGAGTCTTTGGGACCCTGCAAGGCCTCCTGCTCCAAGAGGCTGCGCCGGCAAAGACTCATTTCTGGTGGAGTTTGGGGGAGAGAAAGAAAGACTTTTGCTGCTTCTGCTGTTTTCTTTGAACGAAGCCAGAAGTCTCTCTCTCTCTCTCTCTCTCCCTGAGAATGGAGCTGGAGATGGTATCCTGCGATCCCAAATAAAGAATGATGGATCGGTAGGAAAATGGGGTGGGGTTTTTTCCTGCAGGCTTTTGGGGGCATTTTCTCAGGGTCTCTGGTCCGCGGGATTTAAAATGATGAGTTTGGTGGTCCCTGAGGTCCAAAAGGTTGGCGACCTGCAAGAGAGAGGAGAAGGCAAGCACACACACACACACACACACACACCCCTGTTACACACACCAGCTCAGGGGCAGCAACATGGCAGGCTTCTCCCCGGTTCCTTCTAGCTGCAGCCGCCCAGCCAAGGGGCGATCTACTCTCATCTTCCTGCTGCCAGCATAAACTTGTAGCAAATGGCTCGGAAGTAAGGCAGGAGTAAGCGAGTAATGAAAACACGGCCAACCTCCATCCCACCACACAGTCTGGTGAGAAGATAGTGGTTGGGTTCTCACCATGGTTGACTGGTGGATGATGGTGGCAGGGAGGGAAAGTGGGCAGAGAATGTTGTGGCCCTGAGAACAACCCAGGGGTGTGTGTGTGTGTGTGTGACATCCTGTGCAGCTGGAAGATGCCGAAGTGTGACCATCTGTCTCCCACCAGGTGGGCAAAACCTGTTCCTTCTTTTTTTCAGAAAGAATTACGAAGTATCTAGAAGGATTGTCGGGAAAGCAGCCTCAACGCGCCAGTTCCATAGCGTAGGCAAATGTTGTTGCTAGAGTCTCCTTCATTGCTTGCGTTGAAGCAGAAAGAAGACATTCGCCTGCTGGGGTTTCTTCACTGATACGCTAAGTATCAATTCAATTAAAATAAAACATGAATGATATTTATTTGGATTTTTATTCTGAGCCAGTGGTTGGGCTTGATGTCCCTAGCTGCCTCTTCAGTGCTGGGATTCTATTAACTCTTATTCGTTGCTAGAAGCTCCCGGGACCTTTAGCTACCCGTTTGGGAGGCCTCCTGGTGTGTTATGCGCGGAGTGAGCCGGTCCCGCGAGGGGCATGAGAAGGGCCTTCCTCAAGGGCTTCCCTGCTCCCACCCACTGGAGGATCGGCTCCTGCTCCTGCCGCTGGGGAGGTGGCCAGAAATAGCAGCCAATCCCCGGCGGCCCGAAAGAGATCACAGAAGACCTGCTAGGAAACGGTGCAAAATTATTCCAGCAGCCCTTTGAACTGCTAAACTGCTTTTTGGGAGTGTCAGCACTTGGGCTGACAAGGTGATAATTGATGCCAAGGGGGTGCTTCTGCCTGCTCTGTTCCAAGGGAATAACTGGATTACAGGCAGTCCTTGACTTAGGACCACCATTGAGCCCAAGCTTTCTATTGCAAAGCAAATGGTTGCTAAGTGAGCCGGGCCTCATTTTATGTCCTTTTTGCCATGGTTGTTAAACAAACCACTGCAGTTGTTAGCTGAATTATGGGGGTGGGTAAGTTCACCTTCTCTTCGGCTTGCAGAGAAACGAGACACGATTCCACCCAGGTCCCAGGTCCCGTGAAAAAGGGGTTCGTATGACTCACTCCGTCCTCTGCTCCACTGGAAGGGAGCAGTCCTTGAAAAAACCTCCTTTGGCCTCTTTTGCGAGGCTTGGCTTTTTCGCCTTTGCCTTCCTGATTTCTTTCCTGCATTTCTAGGCTGAAATTTGTTCTTTAAAATTTTTTTTTTAAATAGTAATTTAATAGTGTAACAATTGCAATGCCAACAACAACAACAACAAAACCATTGGTGGTTATAAGGTGAGAAAAAAGTCTAAATAGTGTGGTGGCGCTGATTAAAATGAACTAAAAATAACGAAAAGGGAAAAACTAGTTAATAAAAAGAAAATGTCCCTAATTCTCTTTGTGTCACGGCAATGTAGAATTAATTCAATCTTTAAGCTTTTTATTTAATCCAGACCAGTATCCCTTCCAGGGTTTCTGTGGTGCCCCTGATATTCCTGCCATCCACCTGCCCAGCTCACTGTCCGGCCACATGCATTGATGTGCATCAGCATTCAAGATAATGGCAGGAACTCTCTGGGTTCACATCACCTTTTCCCATTATTTAATTTCTTTCTTTGTTCAATAAACCATATGTGACTCCAAATTATAATTTCAAAAATGCTGCCAACCTCGCATCTCTTGATTGGCACCTTTTGTTCACAGGTTGTAATACTGCAGACGACCATTATAGCACTTTTTTGCTCAAGAGAGTCATTAACCTATAGTACCAAAAATAACCACCAAGGCCAAAAAAAAAAAAAAAGCACACACACAAATTACCCATAACAATAAGAAAGTTACAATCGAAAAAAAAACCCTCTTTGATGAGAAAACAAAACTGGCTACGTACCTAACTTTAATACAAAGCCTTATGCCACCAGATAAAGACACAATTACCATTGTAAACAGGAGGAAGAGTTGTTAAACTTGAAATCCACCCTAGCCTTCTATAATTTTGTAAACACCAAACTTAAAGACTCGAAAACTGTCCCACCCCTAGAAGGACCTAAGGCTGTAACGATGAAGCTGTTACGGGCAACCTCTTCAATATGTTCTTCAGCTCAGTCTTTGTTGACAGCAAAGGCTGCTGCCTCCCATTTCCTAACTATACCATAACCAATTGTAACAATTTACTACATATTGATTTTACAATAGATAACATTGAAACGGCACTATTATGTGCCCTAAAGCCGTCTTTATCTATTGGCCCTGATGGATTATGTACCTACTTCTTGAAAAAACCTGCCACTGCCCTAGCTGAACCCCTATGCACAATCTATGAGGTCACTTTCAGAACCAGCACCTTGCCTGTCTTATGGTCATTAGCCACGGTCATACCTATTTTTAAAAGAGGAGACCTTAGTCTAATAGAAAATTACAGACCAATCACACTGTTGCATCACTTGAAAAGTCATGGAATCAATTATAAATCAATCCAACACGCTCCACTTAGAAATAAACAACTTGCTTTCTAACAAGCAGTTTGGTTTCAGGAAACATTTGCCCTGTAGTCTGCAACTCCTACACTGCAGAAACATTTAGACCTCACATCTTGACCAGGGTAAAGCAATAGATGCAATTTATATAGACTTCTGCAAAGCCTTTGATTCAGTGGTGCATGACAAACTACCGTTGAAACTAAGTTCTTACGGCATCTCCGGATTCCTGCACAAATGGATAGCCGCGTTCCTGTCAAACAGGCAACAAATAGTCAAAATAGGGAGGGCCCTATCAAATCAGGCACCAGTTAACAGTGGTGTCCCCCAAGGCAGCATTTTAGGATCCACCACACTCTTTCTGCTTTACATCAATGACCTACACAATCATATTAAAAGCAGCTGCATCCTCTTCGCCAATGACGTAAAATTATTTAACACCACTGACAATGCTGCTGCCCTACAAAGCAACCTTGACTATGTGTCAGAATGGTGGCGCAATTGGCAACTCCAAATCTCAACGAACAAATGCTCTGTCCTACACATTGGCAAAAAAAATCAGAACACCAGATACAAGTTAGGCAGACGAGATCTCGTAGACAACCCTCACTCTGTCAAGGACCTGGGAATACTTACCTCAAACAATCTAAGTCCCAGAGCTCACTGTAACAGCATTGCCAAAAAGGCATTAAGTTGAGTTGTTAACCTTATTTTGCTTCTTCTCCGGTAACATCGAATTGCTAACTAGGGCATACAAAACCTTTGCCAGACCAATTCTCGAATACAGCTCGTCCGCCTAGAACCCACACTGTATATTGGACATTAACATGACTGAGCGGGTTCAGAGGAATTTCTCAAGAAGAGTATTCCACTCTTGGACAATCTGGAACTGTGCCACCTGCGGTCTGATCTAAGCATAGTACACAAAATGGTCTGCTACAATGTTTTGCCTATCAACTTCTTCAGCTTCAACTATAATAATACACGGGCAAACAATCGATACAAACTCAAGGTAAACGGCTTCAAACTCAATTGCAGAAAATATGACTTTAGCAACAGAGTGGTCGATGATGCCTGGATCTCCCTACCTGACTCCTTTGTTACAGCCTCAACCCCTCACAGCTCCAACCTCAAACTGTCTACCGTGGACCTCACACCATCCTTAAGAGGTCCTTAAAGGAGGCAGGCATAAGCGCACCAGCATGCCTACCGTCCCTGTCTTACTGTCCCCATTTATCTGTACTTACTCCCTTTGTTCTTGTTTATGTTCATACCTATACTTGTTATCCTGTACATGTTTGACAAACAAACACAATTAAATAAATGAATAAACCCTACAAATGCAGATCATGCACTCAGCCAGGGATGGACTAGATTCAGCGGTGGGATTCAGCCAGTTCAGACTGGTTCAGGCAAACGGGCAGTTCTGGCTATTAGTTGGCCAACGCCCACCCG